AAACTGTAAAGAGACAATCTCATGATTCAAATGAAATCTAAGCAAAAAATGCCAATGAGAAGTGTTGCCAATCATGAACTGTTGGCATTTACAGACTCATAGAAAAGCAATAAAAATCGTATAGCTGATTATTCATTACTTACATTAAAGATTATATTTCAGTGAAATGTGAAATATATTCGTTGTTGCCTCTCTCCAGGCCCCACCCACTGCTGTCAGAGCTGTTCAGCCCTTTTCCATTCACCACACCCACCTGCCTTACAAAATGACCAGCCCTCAACACCCAAGCTGTGAACTATACGGCTTTTATTTCAGCCAGGAATTCACAAGCAGTGCGGCCGATAATGTGTGAAAAAAATACGTGCAATCCAGTGTTAATCAAGACAATCCCACCCTAAGAAGCTAATCCCCAATATGTGTATGAAGGACCAAAGCTAGCAGCGATTCTGCAAAAGCACTTCTCGGAGTGGAAGAGACAGAGGTAGGCCAGTGGTTTGCCAGCATAATGTGCTGCACCATCTCTGACCACTCCCCTTTTGGGGGGGGGGGTGTATGACAATTAAGTAAGTCAGTAGTTTGCAGGATCCCATGTGTGAGACTGTGGGTGAAACGGGAGAGTGGAGGCGCCAAGTTTGCGTGTGAATACCTGCGCCGATTTTGCTAGGGAGTGTGTCAGCGATTGAACTTTTCTAGTGGCTTGTTCTCTCCCGTTTCAGCATCGCTGGCAAAGGCATAAAAAAACGGACCCCTGCTGTCTAAGTGCCCCTTCGTTTCCATCTCACTGCTTTTTAATTCTCGGCTGTGCACTTGCCTGTGTAAATATATGTATTTGTACTTTGGTGGATCTGTGCATGTTTGTTAGTGTCACACATTCTAGATTCCTGTAGCAGTGTTTACATCTGATCCCTGCAGATTCAGTGCTGTCTATGTTAGCCAGAATCCACCCAGCCCAGTGGTTTAGGTGTGTATGTATGTGTGTAATATGCTTGTGTCTACATTTGGGCTGCTAATGTACAAAGGCTACGTATCAATGTTGCGCATTATTGTATGTTACTGATTGCCATCTGCCAATGTATTGTCGTTATTAAAAAAAGAAAACTTCACAAAGTAAACAAATTCAGGTAGTCCTTCACTTTGCCCAGTGCCACCCAGCAAGCCTACACCTTCCGCCTGGTCTCCGGCTAATAACCTAGATGCTAAGCACTAATTGTGGAGCAACTGGTGAAAGCCTGTGTAATAGGTTGACTAATCCATGCGGTTCAGTTCATTTACCTAAACTCCCCTACAACTTTACTGAGGAAATGAAAAATGTGTTTATAATAGAGAAGAGTGCCCCAGGAACACCTCCCAAAAGCTTCCAGTGGTACAACCCGCAGTGAGACCTGCTCCCAGTGCAGTGAGGCTACTGCTCTGTAACACTGCACAGCAGGAAAGGACTGATAAGGACCAAAAGTCATTTATGAGGGATATCTGCTTTTTGTACATTTAACCTGATGGCACATATACTTTGTGTACTTCAAATGAAATATTTGACAATATTCCGCTACAGCTTGCTGCCTCAGAGGCAAAGTTACCCTGAGGTAAGGGTGAGATCTACACTGATGAGAAGCCCTTCATTTCTTTGGATGATTCGCCCCAGTTTTACAGGAACCCAGTGAAATGTTCTCATGCGTAGGAACTTCATCATCCAATCCATCAATTAGCTTTGGCTTCCTCATACAGAGCCCTGCGAGATCATATGTAAAGCAATCAGATGTAAAGCAATCAGATGATTGGTGGTGCATTTTTGGTGAAACATGCAATCAGTACCTTCGAAACACAGGCAAGAACCACTGTGGAAATCTGGGTCAGAAAAAGATAAAAAAACGAAAAACTACCCATTAAAATCATTCTTCTGTCATGCATACTGTCCTTTTCATAAAGAGAAACCTCTTCACAATGGACTTGTGTTGAAGCTTTGTAGCATGTACTCAGTGTATAATGATATAACTGCTCTTTAGCTCTAGTTGTCCTGAATTGAACCAGAAAAAATCTGCTTATTCCCACTGGTGAATTTGTGTAAATATTAATAACAGCAGGGCTCCACCTGGTGGCTGTTATAAATTTCATGGAGACAAACACTGTACACTGGCTGCAAATACAGCTCTGGGAAAAAATTGAGACCACTGTATATTTTAAAAAAATCTTCAGTTTTAAATCCTGATTGAATCCCGGTTCTACTGACAGAGGCTACACTGAACAGCAGGCTGCTTTCAGGTTCAAAATTTCTAAGACAGCAGTACAGAAGCATAAGGTGAAGCAGGAGACACTGGGAATGACCAAAAACCAGCCAGGTAAAGGGCGGAAGGAACTTTCTAATGACCGTTAACATATCTGACAGTTTCTCATGACTCAGAGGATGACATCAAGTGGCCTTCAAAAAGAACAGGAAACATTAAGTGCAGGTGTGAAGTGCACTGCTAGGACAGTTAGTATCAGGCTCCTAGAAGCAGGACTGAAGTTCCATATAACAAGGAGGATGTCCTTCATCAATGAGAAACAGGGGAGAGCTAGACTGCAGTTTGCAAAAAAAAAATAAATAAATATAAATATAAATAAATATAAATGTCCCACTCACAAATACACAGTATATATATATATATAATTCACAGATACACACTCTTGTGAAACAAACAATTGTGCTGTGGCCTCTTAATTCTTTCCAGAGCTGCCGCTCTAATCGCACACGCCGTGCGTACACACACGTTGGCGATCACTCCATGCTATGTTATGACCTGGGCAAGCTGGTGATAATCAGCCAGGAGATTCTTGGAGAGTTTTCAGTTTTGGATCAGCCATATAACTGTCCGGGTTATACACAGACACAGGTGATACTCAGATAATTTCCTAACACTTGCAGAAGACTTTACAAACCAAATAATTAGACCTAGAGAAGTGCATGGGGCCATAACCATTGAATTCCTTGATGTAGTTCACAGTTTTGACACAGGCTATAAATGGACAGACTGTACTCAATCTGTGAATATCTCACAGAGAGCCAGGAAAGTGAAATGTATCATTTCTATGTATCTAGACTAGAACAGAAATGTGAATTAGAGAAAAATATACATTTTTAATTCCTCCGATGTCGTGGAAATCTCATATGTTATGTGTTGAGGCTTCTGTACCCCCAGAAAAGCAAAGCATTCACCTGTGCTGCCTTCACCTTGATGTTCAGGTGTCTGAGAACAGCAAACATTAAACAATACTCAGCAATACTCATTAAGCAATACTCCTCACAGTACCATCCCAAAGGTGATACTGCTGCAACCTGCATGGTAATTCCTCTCTAATTGCATGAGCAATTAAGAATTTATATTGGTAACAGCTGCCAACTGATGTTAAATATTTATTATTTTTCCAGGTTCAATTAATGATGAGCACTAGTTGCACTGTATGCAGATACACTATAGGTTTACATGCATAACACAGGGTTAACAAGCCCCGTCCAACAAAAATTTCAACCATAGAAATAAATTAGAAATACATATTTGACATACATTATACATACATGGCACATAAATACATCCTGCTTATTAGAAAGGTAACATTACCTTAGCGTGTCTGTATTTGGTTATATATATTCTGACTAGTCTATTTTATGTATATAAATATACACACACATACACACAAACTGCTTCAGAAATAAACATTATTTAACATAATACGTAATAACACATATAAATTATAACATATTACAAGAACTGACAAGTGGCATGCAATATCTATAATATCTATAAGCTTAATTCTAGTTAATTAAGCATCGCATATGGTCAGAGGAGTATTCAATTCCTGTTCCGGGTTCTGAAAGTGTCCCACTCACAAACTCAACACAGTGTGACACAGAAAGACGATGTTATTAAACCAGTAGAGTTTGGAGTCATGTTGATGCAAAATAATTTGGTATAGATATGATGTCTTTGAAGTTACGTGGCACGAGAAAGGCAGTGAGAGGATGGGACAAGATACCAATTCATATTCATCACATTTATTTAGAGGAAGCTTTTTTCCAATGCAAAGTACAAGTGAAGGTCAGAGAGCAGGACCAGTCAGGCCCTTAATTAATTCCCATCAGCAAAACCACTTTGCAAGACAATGGATTTGAACCAGTGACCTTACAATCATGGCCATGTTTCTTAAGCGACAAAGCCATATGCTGCCCTATTGACTGCCCTATTGACTTTGAGCGCAACCGCAGTTCTCCTACAAAGTTCTGCCAGCTCACCATAAATCCACCAAAGCACTACATGATTTTTTTGTGATGGGTGACACACAAGTGTCAATGGAATCCAATTACAAGAAAACTTTATTGTGAGCCGTGGCTCAGTAAATCCAGATAGTGTGCTAGCAAAGCCTAGAACGGCCACTATTCAGCTCCAGGCGTCGGTGGCACACTTTGCCTTGTCCAAGACCCTGTTCCAATTGAACAGGAGATATAGATATCAGGTACGGCGTCCTATTTGATTCTGCCTTGGGTCAGAGCTCACAAATTGGATGACCTGGAAATACAGGTCGGTAGTTCAATTACCAAGGAAACGATAGACAGCCCAATGGCCCCTAAGGCGACTCGGAGAACCGTAACCCAAATATGACATCGAATCACAGAACAGACCAAATTTATATCAGTCCTGCTTGGCACATGTTCCACAAGCTTGACAGCACAATGCCATGTCCAGATAAATCAATGCCAGACAAAGTGTACAACGAAAACAAAATGAAACAGTTGCACCTAACTGACTTTTCTTCATGACCCCCAGACTAATACCTTTGAAATTCAATAAAAAGTCACTGCAAATCTGGCAACATTACTGACGGTTCTATTCCTCTTTACAGTGAAAACAGTTTAGGACATGAGGATGCAAAACAAACAAGTCCAATATGTCTCTTACAAGTGTTAAAAAAGACTCATACCACCAAACACCACTACTTTGTCCCATGTCCCTTCATGCAAACTGCTCTACCTGTATACCATCCTGCTTGTGGCTCGCACAGAGTCATGCAGCGACAGCCCATGCATGCTGAGGAACTCCTCCAGATGTTTCATCTCCAGATGGTTGCTGGGCTTCAGCCCACCCCAACACACTGTGGGGGGGTATGCCCTCCCGACAGGCCTCTGAAGCTTGGAGAGAGGTCGGTCCTGCTTCTGGACCCCTTTTGGTTTGGGTGTTGGGATATCAGCGCATGAAGCTTTGTACAGGTACATCTCTCTCGCGCGCTGTACTGGTGAAAGGCTCAGGGTTGTCCAAACACCGCATGTACAGGACGATGGCCAAGTCTCCCTCTTCAGCTACACAAAAATCTGCGCTGATACTTCAGTGGCAACACAGTTAAAAGAAAAAAAAACTTCTTTTTCCCAAGCTCTGATGTGGCGGAAGTTGAAAAGAGGTAACTTATGAAATATTTCAAGTGGAGTTTCCTCCATTCAAAGAATCACTCATTCCCAGAACACTGTCTCCTGCACAATGTCCTTCCGTTTAGTTTTGTTTCACTGTCTAATAAATACCATGGGAATCTGGGACATTTTTCATCTCTCTCTCTCCCTCACCCCCGTCTCTCTGTTTCTCTCCCACTCACCCCTCTCTCCTACTCTCACACCCTCCCTTCTCCTTTTCTTCTCTCATCCCTTTCCCTGCCTCTGTTTCCTCTGTACTCAGGCCTCCTGTGTTTTCTTGAGAGTCACCCCATGGGATAGACCCAGGTCACAGTCCACAAACTTCGACTTAACTGCCGTGAGTCATTCTCTGACATCACGTCTTGTTTAGGGGAATGTGGAACCGCAGCGTCGCTTACCCACATCCAGGGTTCTCGAGGGCATGCATCACCACACACACCGGATGCCTCTGCTCTCAGCTCCCCAAATCCCTTTGTTCCCATATACCAAGGCGACCGGCTACAAATGACCAGACTTACACACAGAGAACATGCATAAACTCACTCACACATAACAGAATAGGAACATTAGCACAAACACAAATTAATCTTTACACACACATTCACAGAAATAAAGATGCTGAAACCAATGCACACAAATTAAACTTCATAAAGACAATAATGGAGTATAAACATACTGTGAAAACTTCATATATTAGTCATATTCCTCTTTGGATAAGAGGTAGATTTCAGAGGCACAACTGCGAAAAAAATGGAGACAACTGGTATGAGCTAAGCATCCATTTGGACACATTAACACAGAATTCTGGTTGTTAATTTAGCCCTTTCACGCATGGTGGTCACTACAGTGTACAGCTGAAGACTTTCAAGCAATTGACGAGCAGATTGTTCCCTTCAAAGGCCATCTGTCACTCAAGCAGTACATTCCAAAAAAATAAAATAAAAAAACCCGAACCCTGGGGAGTGAAGATGTGAAGATGTGAGATGAAGATGAGAGCAGGAACTTCAGGATACATGTACAGATTTGAAGTGCACCAGGGTTAACGTCAAATGCATGCAGTTCACTAAAGTGCACATGTAAATAACTTCTTGAAAAAATGCATGTTGAAAAAAGAAAGTTTACAGCTGTTCTTTTCATCCCTTCAGAGAAATAAAACCACCTAGGAAAAATAATTCATGCATGAAAGGGTTAGAGTAATTATTAGACACTATTTTCCCATACAATAACAAACAACCTATTATAAACTGAAGGTGCTCACTTGGATAATAAAATATAGCAGCTACATATTATTACTACATTCTATAACAGCCACATACTGGAAAAACTTTCCAGTAATAAGTCATGACCAAGAATACCCAGCAGCCCTGGGACAGGCGGAGACTTCTCTCACTCTCTCACCCACTTTCCACCTCCCATTCTTTCAACCTGTTTCCCCTTCCTCTCTATGCCCCCCCCCCTCCCCAGAGCCATCTCCATAACACACAGCCACCCCCACACAGCAACATTGTGTCAAAGGGCATCCAACAATCATAGCTCATCTGTTTCTCGCCAAGTTGATTTCCATTAACGATAATGATCTCAATTTGCATGTCTAATTGGATTAATGAGGAAGGGGCTCCTGACGCTTATTTTAGGAAGACGTGATGACCTAAATGAGACGTCTCGCGGCCAATCCGACCCTGATCATTTCTGGCTCTGTGCCACCCGTTCACAGGAACAGAACTCAGAGTAAACACACAAAAACCCCAAAAACAAACAGTAGTGCTTCAGATTGACAAGGGTTTCATACTGCAAACCGCAATTAAATTTGGAAACATTCAAATAACATAATCCAAGGTGGAAAAGTTTCAACCAATCAGTGCTCTGGTTTTTGGATTCATTCAATAATTACATACGTGGTCATATAATCCCTTTCTGCTTTGTTGAAGACATCTGACTCAAGTTAATGCTGCAGCATCCGACACTTTTGTATCACTGCAACGCTACAGAAACACTGTGTGAATGATACAGCTGGTTTCAGCTACCAGCGAAGGTCACGGGGAGTTTTTTTCTGCTACTGGTTTGAAGCACTGCTGTATATGTCAATCAACATCCCCCCCCCCAACAAACACATGGCCCTTGCCATGAAATGCAGGGCCATAGATAGTCTGAAAGTATCCAGCAAGAGTCAACAAAGGTCACTGGAGACTGAGATGGATCGCCTTCTCTCATTTCCATTTCCTGTCCTATGTCTTACTCAGTTACAAAACATGTCAGAATTAAATTTTTTAAGGCAAAGTGACTGTGCTAAACAGGAGAAGGAATTGGCAACCAGTAAACAGCAAACAAACTGACTTATTTAAGCAACAGGTTTTAAAATTCTGTTTCCTGTTTCTCATGCTTTTAAAGGTGGCTAATTTTATCACGGTCATCAAGTGCATGTTATCCAACATCCTCTGCAAGCCTGTACTTTATCTGATCAGACAATTTAACCGAGGGCTTTAGTAAAGCTTTTCATTCTATAAAAATCTACTAATACAACATTGGTGCTGATCTCCTCCTTGTCCCAGTCCACACTAAGTAACCTATGAGCAGTTTCACAAAGCAGGGTGAAGAAAATGATCTCAGGTTGAGATTAATAGTAAACGTGATGTACCCATGGCCACCTACTGGTCCTAATGTTGCTAGTCTTGCAGCAGTTCAGTCACACAGCTCATTTCAATTTTAACAAGAATGCAATTCAGCAGAAACCTGCAGCCCTACAAGAAAATAAGTAAGAGCAGACAGAGTGATCTAAAGAGCCCTCAGCCCATCCTATTTCCTCAGGGAGAGTTTGGCCAGTGGCGACCTAAACAATGTGACTGAGGAATGCCGCAGACGTCGCAATTTATCTCCAACAAAATCATCCCAGGCACAAATGCACTCTATTCCAGTAATGAAACAACACTATGTGCTTGAAAGCAATGCTCTCACTTCTTTACTTCACATTCATGATGAGTCTATATACGATTTAGCTTACAGTGATATTTTCACATAGGAAAAAAAGGAGAAATGACAGACCAGGGAACAACTTCCTCTAATACAGTGTTTCCCAATCCGGTCCTTGGGAACCTGTAGTCCATGTTTTTGCTCCCTCTGAGCTCCTGGTAGGTAGTGAAAATCTGGACTGTCTGTGGGTCCCTGAGGACCGGATTGGGAAACAGTGCTGTAATATCAGATAAGTGCTGGAGTGGGGCCCACACTGGATGCACAGATGTTGTTATTATTCTTATCAGAGGATCATGGTTAAGGACTAAGACCTAAAAACCAGAGGACTGTGCACTGTCACCATGTTTTTTCTCCCCTACCTTTACTGCCATTTTGGTTTCTATATCATAAGCTTTTCTGCTCTGAGTCATTGCTTAACTGTCCCAGTTGTAGACTTTGTTTTAAAATACTGGCCAATTTACAACTGAACGACTGAAAGAAAGTACTGCAGTGTCCACATTGGCAGTTTAAGTCCTTCTAAGGCAGAATGGAAGAGCGAAGCTGTAGCCATCAAGGGACAAATCAGCCCCCCGCCCCATTCTCCAAACATATGTGGGTGAATCAAACTGAAAAACCAGAGGCATCTGGGGACTAGAAACTGACTGACAAGAAATAAAAACTAGAGCAAGAGATGAACCAGGACGCTCCCCACACACAAACACCCAGAGTTTAGATCCAGAGACAATTTGCACATTTGTAAAGTTCCTTCAAGTTTCTACCACCTTCATAAAATTTCCACCTCCCAGACTAATCCACTAAGAAAGACGATCAACATTAATATTCTATGCCTCTCAATTCGTACAAAATTGCAGTTGACTCAAATGGTGAGTCTACGTCTACTTAAGGGCTTCCAGGTTCATCTGACCATTGACCTTTACAAGTCCAACACAGACTGCAAAATGCAGTATCATATTAAACTAATTTAATATTTATTATCTGAAGATGTGAAATGCATCATTCCATTGAACACAAGGGAGCATTGCTGCCATCAGGTAATTACAGAACAAAACCATTAAGTTAATGGTTCTGTAAAGCATCCTTTACACAAGTGTACTGAAACACCATCTGAATAAAACATTCTCCTTGAATTTGAGACATTTTAACAGGTTGTTTGGTGTATAACAAGAGGTTCAGCTCAACCACCACAGAAACCAGACAAAGACTTCAGATATAACACAACAGCTTTTTCAAACAGAAAGGCCCTTAGGAATCTTTATCTCAGGTCTTTAGGAATCTCATGTTTAGATAAGAGACTTCGACAATGCTTGTGCTCTGTAAGATCTGGGCTCTGGTAGTCTAGGTGTTCTAGGACAAACTGCAAGTTTAGACTGCAATTAGAGCTTTTTCTGGGGGCTCTTTCAACGATAGCACAGGTGGGAATGTCTGGGTAGTCAGCAGGCCCAAACCTCATTGCACTAATCTCATTATCTTTGTTGAGAGATAGATACATGGAGAATGAGGCAAGGATAGTTTGATGGGAAAAAAATTTGTGACATCCTATTGCTAAGAAAGGGTCAATGGATTAGATACTGTATTGAGAAATATGAAAGGTCAAAAGACACCTACAATTAGTTACATCAACAACATCTTCATCTCAAAACACGTAAAAAATCACTGGTGCACCATCTGAAAATCATTCAAATATATTTCAAGTCAGCAGTAATGAATACCCTTAAAAATAAAAGCTCAGCGACAAGTAATAGCATTCTCAGCATAACATCTCGCTCTTGAATGACATTTGATCTACCCTGATCTGTTCTAAAACACAAATGAAGATGTCAAAAGTTTGTAAAAGGCATATTGCCTCATTCATAGTAATTAAAAGCACCATAATATTATTTCCTATAGGGGAATCCCCATGTTGAATACGGATTCTTAACGCCTATTTGTTTAATAAGAAATAAATGTATTTTGGGCAGAGGCTGTTAAATAGTCAAAGTGCCCATTGACAGTGCTGGCTTTCGATGACACTGATTTCGGGCAATGTCACCTGGGCTATAAACATGCCATCGTCTCTGTTACACACACTCATATCCATCCAACCATCCATCTTCCAACTTCTGCTGCTTATTTTGGGTCGGGTCACCAGGGCAGGGACTGGCGCCGAAACCAAGCAGCTCAGCACACAAGACAGGGATGCAGCCCTGGATTGGACGATAGTGCTTCACAGGGTGCACAATTACCCATCAATCACCAACCAGAATACTCAGAGCGAACCTGCAGTACAAAGAAAGATCACAGAAACTCCACACACAAACACACACACACACAGGTTTGTAATTATATCTTTGTGGGGACTCTCCATTTATTTCTATGGGGAAAACTCTAATCCCAACATGATAACTTTAACCCCTACCCAGCCCTAACCTTAACCGTAAGTAACCAAACAAAATGCCAGACTTTTGGTATTTTTTGTTTTTTGATTGCATTCACTGATCTTTGTGGGGACCTGAAAAATGTAATATTAACACAATCCACACACTCACACACGGAGTCAAGCCCCCAACCCTGGACATGTGAAGCAGCAGTGCTGCCCACTGAGCCACTATATCTATACCTCTCTTATTCATCCAGCTTGTAGGTTGCCCGTCTACAACACATCAAGCCTAAGGCAGACGAGGAATGTCAAAGGGCATGAAAGACAACCATTCCCACTCTTGGCTTAGCTGGGTGTCACAGGATCACTTGACTAGCCAAAGATCACAAGCTGAAAATAGTCTCAGCCTGAAACAGTAACAAAAGCCACACCACTCTTCACATGCTAAGCAGTGAATCGTTCACACCGTAACGGGACTGTCAATTCTTGGTATTAATACCATCTTTAGCAA